CATAAGGCATTTGACTACATTGTAATCCTTGTATACAATTAAGACCCTTCACGACTACGGCTCTTACATTTATTAACCCTAAAACATACCCTTGGGAAGACTGTGTGATTATGATAAGCAAGGTTTTGTGAGACCTCTTCACTCTGACAACCGTGGATTGAACCTGATGAACGAATGAGGTACTTATTTAGTTTGACCTTGACGTAAAGAGGATTTCAAATGTCGATTCCCGCTTCTTTTCTTTTGAGACTTTCACGTTGCCGAAGTGGAAAAGCTATTTTCCGGCCTACAGCATTCTTCTGGGTGAAACTTGATATTGCGAAGCGATCTGACACTTTCATGCGTTGTCTTCGAAACTCCATTTATTTTCACCCCATTCCTTTCCAGTTTTTCAAACGAAAAAATTCGCCCCGACAAACAAATGTAACCTTTGAATCCGGACAAGTTTCGATTTTTACGGTGTGGAGTTCTTGCGAAATATTCCTCGGTAAGTGAAACATCTTGTTGCAATGTAACAAAAACCGTATTTCAATGGTTTCAGAACTGTGATAAGAGAATGCTCCCTTTACAAGTTCTCTACAGGAGGCAGGTTTAAGAACACGTCAAGAAGCATTAAATTTACAAGAATTCGTCGGCAAAAGGCGGTTACGCCTAGTTACATAGGCACGGATACTTGCCGAGAAATTTACCCACGTAGGTTAAAGGAAGCCTATAGAGCTTTCAATACTAATGTAAAACATTGAAATTGTGTGTCTCCTGTTACATATTTACCTCTTTAGTACGATGATGCTTAATTATTTATAAGAGGAAGATTCTACTTCCTCACTCGCCTTCCTTCAAAAGGATAGACAAAATTGGCTCCCACTAGGTGGAGTAGTGGTATCTTTTATCAGATTTTCTTTAATTGCAAAACCTATGGAGGTTTGATTGAAAGCAATATATATTTCTGATTCGCCTTCATTTGAGAGGATACGCAATAATGGCTCTTACGAGTAGTATACATTCTCGTACATTCTTTGATTTCTTGAGTAATGGAATCATGAGGGAGGATTTAATTTCCCGATTTGCCCTCGTATGACAGGACGAGTGAGAGAATTCCTCACAAGTTGAAACAGTAATAATATTTCGAGAAATTTAGTCCTCCAACGCAACGTCCAATGGATCATAATTGCCACGATAAACCCTGGTTAAGTAAAACTAAAAACTCAATAATTCATGTTGAAAATAGCAAATAGGCTCAGAAATCCATTGTCAGGTCTCAATATAGGTATCTTTTAACACCCTGTTCATTTAAATCTTTGCGAGATTTCTGGAACGCTCAAAATCAACCAATATTTTGAATGTTCGCTCAAGATTGCGTTCTCGGTCCGCCGAGCCGTTTTGGGCTTGAAAGGGTGATCAAGCGATCACTGCAATCGTGGTCGGAATCGCAAATGAGCGGCAAACAAACGGAAAACGCTAACGAGGGTGAAGGCATGGCGGGAGAGTTAAAGGGGGGGGGAGGGTAGGTCGACGCCCTCCTTGAAAGACGACCAACATCTGAGACCTTCAATTTTAAAGATTTATTTAGGTTAGAAAAGGCTCAAGGGTTCAAGATCCCCCTTTCCACGGCGGTGGTCGATGGGAGATGAACTGACCTCCACATCCACTCACGGTTTATTTAGGTCAGCTTCGAACCACCCTCTCGAGGCACCCTCCACGCTGCGAGCAGAATTTTAAACTAATGAATTAAAACGAGATTTAAAATTCTCGGCCTCCTAATCGAGAGATAAATCGCTTTAATAAACTTGATGGTGTGGAAGAACTGTAGCAATGTTGCCGTAAGGTTTTATGATAAGTCCATGCGTAAAAAAAAGTTGGAACTCCACTCATAGCGCTAATTGAGTGATTTTACAGTCATTAAGACAACGGCTAAAATTAATCCTAAGATTGCGCAACATTCCCTGTTCATGCCAAGTCATAACGTATGCCATGTTGTGAGTTTCCCAAGAAATTGTTTCTTACTTTGCCTCTTCTTTTTTCTTCAGAATTACCTGATTTGCGTGGAGAGAGATTTGAGTACATTGTGTTCAATGAAATTGTAGTAGAAATCAGCATACAGCTTGATGTTATTGAGAGTGAGTGAATCAATTCAGAGGGAATAAATACGTCGCCGTAAAATGAAAAGCTAAAAATGGGATCATTTACTACACAGGCAGATGAACCAGTCAAAATATCTGCAATATATCGAGAGAAGTTAATGAGAGACCTACTTTTCTCAGGGCCGGATTAAGGGGGTGGCCACATGAGCCGCCGTGGCCCATGGCGGTAAAATTTGCAATTTTTTTAAATTCAGGTACAAAAAAATCGGATTCAGAAAAAAATTACAAACAAGAAAAGGTGACAAAATCTCTCATTTCCTGAGAGTTCATGAATTTCTAATTTTGTCGTATTTCGGTGATACAAAAGACTACGCACCTTTAATTAGTTGAGTTAAGAGAGAAACCAAACACGTAATTTGGCCTGGAGCGGCGCGGCCCAAAGAGAAATGATGACGAGGACTTGAAATGAAAAGGAGAAGTCCTCGGCGCGGCGACCAATCGGCATGTAACACATATTAGCGCCTACGAGACTGCATGAATACTTCACGCATTGCGTCAAACGCAGTACGGTCAACAGCGGTCGGCGCGGCGTGAAACGCACAGTGCCTACAAGACTACATGAATACTTCACACATTGCGCCAAACACAGTGTGGTCAGCGCGGCACGGCAGCGGAAGTTAAAATTATTAAACCACATTTATGTTTGTTCTCTCTTAATTTTTTAGTTCATTTCTTACAAATGAAAGGCCTTGTCCCCACAGAGATAGGTTTACGAAACTGAACTTCCGCGGGAAGTTCCGTGAACTTTTGCTAGTAGTGTTGACAAGGCTTACGCAAAAAATGTGTCCAACGCGAGTGAACTCGTCTTGTGCACCCTTCTCCCTCCGGTAAGTTCACTTGATGGTTTTTATTGATGTTTCAAAATGAATGAGAAGAGGGCGGCAAAATACAGGCGGCCCATGGGCGGCAAAATACAGGCGGCCCATGGGCGGCAAATGGGTAAATCTGGCCATGACTTTTCTTAAAGTCATCCTTCACACATCCTTAAACTAAAGCGGAGAGGTAAGGATCTTTTTAAGAAATTTCATTGAAAGAAGTATTTATGCAGACACTTGGAGTAATGTTGTCGAGAAAGAAGCTTAACAGAACTGTCAGGGATTACACTGATTAGAAAATCGACAACTTGAGCTCACAATTACTGAGCCTAAATTAAAATCTGCTTGGGCACAAATCATTAGATCTGCTTGAAATGAAAAAATTAAAAACCAATCGAAAGCAACAAATTTATTTCAGTCTCAAAAATGATTTTAAGCCAAAAGCTGCAGTTCGCAGAGTTTAGCATTCAAATTTTTCAAAATAAAAATGTAATTAAAAAATTGAAGCTATACTCTGCAAAGCTCCTTTTGTGAGATTATCCGGTTAAATGTGAAATTTAGTTCAATGTAAACCTCACAAAGTTCTCTGAAATTTAAAAAATAATAAATAAAATATAAAAAAAATTATGGCTCAACCATCAAACGTTCTTTACCGTGCTAAAATTACGAAATTTGACTCCAATGAGCCATCAAGTTTGCCCATAGACAGACACAACTGCTATTAAATTTTGCTTACGGAGAATCACTTAATGTGTTCCAGCACATTTTTTTAAAACCTAAACATTGTCCGTGTCGAACAACTGGCAACACCGACCCATAAGTTGCCTCGCTATCTCTGTCCACGGGTGCCTCGAAAAATTTGCTGAAACGTAGTAAAAATCAATAGAAACATTAGTTAAAAACAGGCTCATAATTTCACAGTTGGCGCGCGCTATCAGGCACAAGCTGGCGATGTTTTTCTTTTTCTGTAACTGAATTTCGATTCAACGACCTTTCGCCGGGCGTTCGGAAACGCTCTAACAGGGGAGGAAGAGCCAGAAGATAAATCGCTCCGGGGAGCGTTTGTCTCAGAGCTAACCGGTGTAAAATGCTACAAATTTAATTACAAATCAAAATTATTAAGAGCAAGTCTCGCTATTTCACCCTCGAGCTGAGACCATCGCCAAAATTCCTGACCTTATCTCCTTGGGGCGGGCGTTTCCTTTGCAGTCGGACTGGCGCCGCTTATTCGCCCTTTTCTGCGTCAAAGTCGCTAAAGTTGTTTTTCTTCTTTTATTTTAATTTTTACTTGTTTTTGTCTCACTTGAATTAATTTCCGGTAAACTGGGAAAAAAACACATTGGATCTAGAGTCCAGACTCTTAAAAACATCGACAAGAAAAAGTACTCTTGATTCAATCAGAATCTAGCTTAAATCAAGAACCAAGCCTCCTTATTTAAGCGGATTTCGTTTTGATTCAAGCAAAAGTCCGATTGAATCAAGAGTATTGTTTCTTGTCAATGTTTTCAAAAGTCTAGACTCTAGACCCAATGTGTTTTTTTTTTCAGTGTAAAATGGCGTTAGTATATAAAACAAGAGAGGTAAAAAACTGATATTCTCTCCAAGCAGGATGACAAAAAACTTTCTAGAGTGGTTGATGGACGGGTCAACATCCGTTTGAAAGTTTTGCAACAATTTTTTCGGTGGGAAAATATTTAGACCCCTTAGGGCTGATTTAAAATGTTGGACTTACGCCTTTTTAACAAAATAAAGAAAAAATAGTCATTTTAAGTAAAAGTAAAAGCAGGTTTAAAGTGAAATTCGGAGTTTTACGACTCATTTTGTCATTAAAGCAGAAGTATTATAACCTTTAGATATTGGCAAAAATTTAGAGGCTTAATTTTTTAAAAATAAAAAAAAGTCAGAAAACGAGTGAGTACCTTTAAAAAGGCCAAAAATGCGGGGGGGGATGAAAATTTTGGACTCGCGTCCTTCTATCAGAAACCTATCATATTATATTTATTCTCATGAAATATTCTAGGGCAGCGATTTCTCCTTTTAACAAACACCTTGACTCGTCGGATGCAAACGGCATGCACGCGAAATAGGGCTATTTCCCCTTCCTTCACGCTCATCTCTTTTCACACGTCAAAATATTCGAGCAATTGAATTTCGCCACCTCAAGTCCTTTCCACTCGACTTCAGAGTGCCTTTCACTTTCATGAATTTTGGGTATAAAATCTGCGGTAATGCTACATTCTACCATCAGTTATCTCCGTGCCTCAAAACCGATCTCATCAAATCTAATCCATCAAAATGGTCTTTAAGGTAAGCTTACAACTCTCTTATCCCTTAAAAATATTGAACTTGGAAAAAATTTATCCAAATGTGTGTGTTTTTTTTTCTTTTCTTTTTTAAATTTTTAATGTCCCTTACAAATTTAGACCCAGCACAGTAGTGCTATAGAAAAACCTCAAGTGAGCATTTGAGTGTTGCCCAAATCCTCTCGATAAATCATTTATTTTTTATGATACTTATGACAGGACATGTGTATTGCTTTTAAAATTTTCAGATTCATCGTGTTCAATTTCGGGCAAATTGTGCTGAAAAATTGGAAGAAAAATAAATCCACTTTGATTAGACGAACAAAAAAACTGATTTTTACTGAAGGAAATTTGGCAGCATCTGACGGCTCATACAGCGTTCTCTCTCAGCACACCAGAAGAATACTCAAATCGTCGATCCTCTGACGTAAGGGCGTATCTCCATTACTACGTGAGCCCTGAGCTCCGTATGATCCTATGCTCTCCGAGGCTCATGCTGAAATAGAGATACACTCTTACGTCAGAGAAGCGACGAAATGTACAGTTTCACGTACCGTGCGTACCGTAATGTGTTTTTTTCCTTTCCTCATTACAGTTCTGCATTTTGGCTGCCCTTGCGACCGTGGCTAGCTGCGGCTACGCCAGCTCCTCCGCGGACGTGAAAACAGGCCACGCAGCGGCATCTTACGGAACTTACGGCGCGGGGTCTTACGGAGGCTACGGACACGAATCGTACCCTGACGCGCACCCCAGCTACAAATTCGCTTACAGCGTACACGACCCACACACTCACGACGTGAAGGCTCAGGAGGAGACCCGCGATGGACACCACGTCAAGGGCTTCTACTCCTTATACGAGGCTGATGGCAGCAAGCGAGTGGTCCATTACGCCGACAACGGACACGGCTTCGAAGCCACCGTCCAGAAGGAGGGTGCCCACCACCCCGTCTCCGCTCCTGTCCACTTCTCCTCGTCACCATCGCCCGCCTACCACACTGCTCCGGGATACGGAAAATACCATTGAAGCCGCCAAGTCATAAGATGTAATCGAATTTGTGTAACATGAGTAAATAATAAATATATTTCAACCAAATTCATTTGACTAGCCCGGTTCATATTTAAAAGATCGTTGGAAAAGAACGCTACGTTGCAGTATACGACGTTCCAACGATACGGGGTCATTTTAGTATTACGTGAGCGTAAATTTTGTAACATAAGTAAATAATAAATATATTTCAACCAAACTCATTTGACTAGCCCGGTTCATATTTAAAATATCGTTGGAAAAGAAAGCTACGTTGCAGTACGACGTTTCAACGATACGAGGTCATTTTAGTATTACGTGAGCGTAATTTTTGTAACATAAGTAAATAATAAATACATTTCAACCAGACTCATTTGACTAGCCCAGTTCATATTTAAAAGATCATTGAAAAAGAACGCTACGTTGCAGTACGACGTTTCCACGATACGGGGCCATTTAAGTATTACGGGAGCCTCAAAGGATGAAAAGAGTCTACGCATGCCTTGCTGAGTCTTACGAGGAAAACTGGGTGTAGGTCTCCTTAAACCTCCAATTTAAAGCAAGAAAAACCTTTTCAACGGAGAGATTTTTTCTAGATATTTTTTAGAGTTTTTCTGTTCCAAATATTGCGGTTTTGGCACAGAGGCATGGAATAGTGGTCGTTGGATATTTCGAAGACCTGACAGTTTTATATTCAACCGTGCCTACGATGGTTCGAGGCTTGCAGTTCAAAAGATTTAGTTTCGAAAAAGCGATATTATTTGAATTCTCACTTGCATGTTTGAAGCACAAAATTTCCGAAATTTATTGCAAATTTTGCAACAAAAGCTTGTTGATTGTGGAACAATCTTCATCGGAGTTACAAGGGCCGTTTCACCCCCTAACTCGACAAAAACCTTTCTGTTGAAAAGCCTCCGTAGTTTAAGTCACAATTATATAGTAAATTAATAAAGCAGTACTTAGTTTATTTTCATTTGAGAACACAATTTTTGAGAACTTAAGCCGATTTCAAGTATGACGTCAGAGGCAGCATCATTCGAACTATTTAAGCAAAAGAAATCCACCAACAAAGGGACTCACTTCAGACGATCTTGTTTTCTGCGAATGAGTCCAATTTGCCACGGAGGTATTTCTCGGAATCATACAGAGACGGGGCGAGCAGAGAAATGAGGGTCGCGCACGGTGTTAGATTTGAGTCCTCACTTAAGAGCGTTTCTCACTTGGCGGGTGCTTAATGCAATGCTGTAATGTATTAACTATTAACTTTCGCTAAGCCGTTGACAACTCGGAGAGGATGATTTACTAAGTTTGAGCCCGGCTTACAAATTGCCCTCTCATGTCATGTCCGGCTTTTACCCCTCCCCCTCCCCACCCGGCCCACCATTCCTCGACTCGCACCTACTTCCTCCGGAGTCCGGACTCTCGGCGAAGAAACTTTTCATTTTAACACTGTCGAAATATTTTTTCCCTCTCCGGCCTCGTCTTGGCCCGAAATTATTTATTTCTTCTCAAGATAAAACATGTGCACCCTTTAGTTTTAACAAGTTTCCCGCGCTTGGACATGGCCGCACGCACGCGAGCGGGCCGGCACGAGCGTGCGCCTGCCCTGATAGCTACTGACGCGTCGAAAGTGGACTTGTCAGGCAAAACCACCCCCGGCCTGACCCGGATTTACTCGCAACTTTTATTTTTGCGCCTTTTCCTCCCGCCAAAAGTCAATGGACCGGATAACAGATAGATTTTTTTTTTTTTTTTTTTTTTTTTTTTTTTTTTTTTTTTTTTTTTTTTTTTTTTTTTTTTTTTATTCATAGGAAATATATATAACATTCAGTATACAAATATTCAAAAGAAAAGTTGCACTCGAGAACTCAAGTATGTGAATAGCTAAATAATGAGAGATTAATCATATCTGAATCATTAAATCAATAGAGAGTATAAAATCATAAACATTTCGGTCCATATGAAGTCTCAAGTCTAATAAATTGATGGGTTAATTAGTCAATACGAATGGTTATTCATAATATTAACCTAACTATTTTCTATGAAACCGGTACCGGCCGTAGCCGCTTCATCGGTTTGTGTTGGCAGTCTGCCATTTGATATTTCATTCCTCTTTTCTAATACTAGTCTTACGTATCTATAAATCGTGTTCCAATCTGCCTTTGTTCCTAACAATAACCGATAGATTAGTCAGCGAAAAAAAACCAATAGATCGTATTTGAAACATCAAACGGGTGAGATTGTATTGATATCGATTGGTTTAAAACATACACATAGCCTCAAAAGTCAACTGAGTAATCTGACGGAACGGATTTTTTGTGATAGATTTTTGATTCGTATAAGTACTAAGAGTGGTGAAATTGCTACGAAATTTCGCATTTTCAGCTTTTCTGACAAATATCCTAAAATTTTGGTTTGAGGGTATGTTCCATTGTTTTGAACCAAACGATACATCGAACCACTATTGAATACGAGCATAGTGTAGGCACACTAGGACGAATTAAACTAAAATCAGTCTCAGTACATCACGAATTAATAAAAATAAACTATCAGGAACACCGCACACGAGCTTTGTCAAAAACTTTTTAGAACACTCATATGCACGTAAATTTTTAAAAATCACGACTCAAAGAAATTTTTAAAAATGGACGTGCACGTAATTGCCTTCATCTTTTGGAACGGGGAAGTTGGAAAGAGGCCGACAGTGACCTCACCCTAAACAAAAGGAAAGGATCCTGTTAATGAAATCCATTATTCCTCCTAAAATTAACAAGAAATATGGTTTTATGTATAATCCTAATTTATTCCCCGACTCGTACGTTTTACTTTGTTCATTATAGAAGTAAGCAACACTCTGCTTTGAAATCCTGTAAACACGCTTAATGTAATCAAGGGAAAATGCAAAGAAGGTTCCGAAACACTACCATTTTTTTAGCGGCTTTTAAAGGTTCCATTAAATTTAATAAAAAAAATAATCAAAATATCATGTATAAAATGATATTTTTAAATTATAAGTGTAAGTTGCCAGATTTTTGATGTATCAAAACCTGCTAATTAAACCTTGGCATTCATAATCTTGTTCTCTCTCAAAATCGGCCAGGCGTTGAGTAGGCAACTATTCTAACGCAACGACATCCCGCAGTATCCTCGCAGATTGAAGGCGCATCGCAAGATCGTGCGACTGAGGGCTCAATCCTCCGAACCGAACAGGGCCCATTCTGACATTATCGGTCCGTGTGACCGCGAGGTTATTTCATCCATACACTCCACCTATGTGAAGGTACTCTAGCCTGTTGAGTTGGACAAAAAATCTTCAAAAATCTAGCCGTCCCCGCAAGAAGCAGAGCATGATCATCTGGGCGTGGAGGAAAGACAGATGACAACTTAAGTTCCCGGTGAAAACGGGTGCAACGGAGTGGAAATCATATCGTGGGCGCGCGTTCTCCTCTCAGTTCGGACACGCGAGCTACTCCGTTTTTTTTTTAACGACACAACTTTTCGTCAAATTGGCCGTCCACTCTCCTCCGATCTTCCACACCATTTGATAGTCCGTCCACGGGGGTTCCGGCACCTAGAGCCTCTTTCCCCGGCGCGCCCGACACAATGCGACTTCGAGAAGCCTACGAAATTAGGAGGGGGCCTCGCTAGAGTGAGGCGAAGTAGTTCTGCGGCGACAAATTTATAAAGGGAGTGGCCAAGGATAAAAGGACAGTGTCAAAAGTCGCCCAATTTATGACCGGTCCAACGCCGTAATTGAAGACTTAAAAGCTGTAAAGTGTGCTGTTCGGTATATGCGCTTGTTATAAGCTCGTTCATCATAGTCTGCGCGAGTTAAATGCTTTTTCGAACGCCTCGAGCAAAATACCTCCGCCCCCCTCGATATAAACTAGAAGCTTTTATTTGTCAATTATTCTTTTTGCTTTTACCATGTTGTCCTTTTATTTTTTTAGAGGAAGACTTGCGCCTGCTGGAAGATAGTAAGAGGTACTAGCACTTATGAAATACGCCACGCAGAGATATGAGGAAAATGTATAAACTTCAATTTGTGAATAAATAAATGGAAAATAACAATTTTGATACAATGTCACACACATTACTTATCCCTTGATCACTAAAAACATAGTGTATAACTAAAAACATAGGTACACTTTGAGAATTAAAATAGCAGAACGGTTTAAGCCGTCGCTGGCAGTCAGTTGTAGAAACATTGAAAATGGATGAAAAATCGATTGGCAACTTGATCTCAGTTGTTATCGCGCAGCCGCTTAAAAATGTGGACCAGGCCTCCTCCTATTTATTTATTAATTTTTTGTATCCTCTGCAGATAAATATGTACGTATCATGCAGGCTAAAAACGTTCGTCATTTTTTTATTAATGCAAATTTTTAGCCTAGTTTTTAGACATTAATTCATTATCTCTCCCAAAAAACTTCGACAGGAAAAAATGTTTCGAGTATAAAATAGACGACAGAGGTTGACATTTTTCTATGAGGTCTAGAATAGCGCTTAATTTGGCAGTGTGCAATATTATCATACAGAATTGCGGCTTAAACCTAAGGTGAAATGTTCGAAACAAATACTTTAACTCGTATTATTAAAAATTTACAAGAACCCGACCGCGAACTTTACCAATAATTTTTCCAATGCGAAATTAGTGAAATTTGATCGCATTGACTTCACCTTGAAAATTTGCCGGGCGCAGAATTTGATTCGACTTACAAAATCTATGTTCTAGAGGATGCCAGGGCCAGAGTTCCCTACTTGCCGCCCAAGGACCGCCTGTATTTTGCCACCCCCTTTTTATTCGTTTTGAAACATCAATAAAAACCATCAAGTGAACGTGCGAGCGAGGGAGGGGTGCATAAGACGCGTTTACTCGTGTTGAACACATTTTTTGAGAAAGCCCTGTCAACACTACTAGCAAAAGGTCACGGAACTTTGCGCGAAAGTCAAGTTTCGTAAACCTATCTCTAATGGACAAGGCCTCCCATTCATACGCAAT